AAAATCTACCTCATACAGCCTCATGTACAATATACAGAGACGAGACTACAATGTACACAATAAGAGTAGCCTACAATAAGCTCACAATCTAAATATCCAGACATAAAATAAGTGCACATCTATTAATGTAGGGACAAATTATTGGCTGTACCTTGATGTTTTAATTTCCTAATGCAGAATTCTGCCGTTTGACCTGCTACTCCCCTGAATTTGAGGAGGAGAAGATGAGTAGGAGCATTGAGTATCTCATCAGCCTTTTTAAAAAATAAGGTCATCATACAGCTGTGCTGCACACACCTGACTATCTCTCAATGATCCTGCTTGTTGTCTTAATCATGCCTGCAGTTTGGTGTGATCTCGAGCATGCATATTTCCAATGGTGCATAACAGGCCTAAGGACAGAACGTTCTGCAGTGCAGCTTTGTAGAACCTCTGGAGGATGAGATGATCTTCTCTAAAATGATTCAATGATAACATCCTTTTTTTTCCCAAAATCAATGACCATCTATTTTGTTATCTAAACATGGACCTCAAAAAAAATCTCAGAGCATTATCCGAGTAAAATTAAAAAAATTATACGGAACCCAATGCTTATGAATGGTCAGGTTTTAAGTGCCTCACCACTGATGGATCATCCGCTTATTTAAAATATGTTTGAACTTGTGGTGGCATTCTGTTGCAACCTTAGACACGAATGCTGGTGGACTCAAATGCACGGCTCAAGAAGGTAGTGAATATAACAAAAAAGGTTTATTCCTTGTCTACAAATGCACAAACAAAAAGCGGTCTCTTGGAGGATAAAAAACGTAAAAACTAATCAGGGGCGGGAAAATCACACAAAGGGAGGAAGTCAGGGTCTGAAACGAGAGGGAAAAGGTGAGTACAAAATAAAACAGGAAGTGCACGATGAGACTAGACATGAGTGAAGTTTAACTTAACACCCAGTACTCAAAAGACACATTACTAAACATTAACTAAACACAGGCATGACAACTTAAAACATGAACATGAATAAACTTAACATATTTGACGAGACATAACACATTTCTGTGAAACAAGCACARAGTCAAACACTTCTTTCTGTAAGTTTAATTCAGCATCTGCAGATGGACTCACAGTACACATCACCTGAATGACATGCACGGAGAATCTGTGTACTTATAACTCACAGCCCCCTCCCACTAAGCATGCAAAGGTATTTATTACCCTCTTACAGTTTCGCTTCATGGAAGAGACATCCTGAGCAGAATTTAACCTAATTTGCTGACTGTGGTCTGCGGTACGATGGTATGGCTTCTGAAATTCACAAACACAAATTTGACCAGGCTCTGCACCTGTTCAAGATTTAATACATGCTTTGTGTTGTAGTATAATGTGTATTATAATATTAGTCATTATTATTATTATTATTGTTATTTTTATCATTATTATTATAATTATAACATATGTGAGGATATATACTCATCGACCACTAAAAATAAAAACCCTTTTCAGGACAACCTAGAAGAAGTGCTGGTTGCAACTCATCGGGAGATGGAGCTTTATCATAACCAGCCTTTAGCCATGGAAAAGCTACAGTTCAAAAAAGGATCCCTGCAGAGCCAGCTCATCAACATTAGAGGGGAGCTCTCCCAGGCCTCCAGTGTAAGACAGTGCATCACACACACCTAACGTGCATACAGAGTGGGGGGAAATGTAATATCCTTTTGTCGTTACGGTGTGACTCGTCCAGTGCTTTAACAAGAGTTTGGCTGTAAGAAAGGTGCATGATTTATGTAAGCCACAGATGAACAATTCCCTTAGTATGGCTGCATTTGTGTGTACCTCTCTCAGGCTTTAACCACCACTCGCATGGAGTTTGAAGCATTAGAGGATGAGGCCAACGCTATCCATGGAGATCTATGGGAGCAGCTTAATGCAGGAGGACAGGTAAAAATTAATGCTGTTATCACCCCTGTAAAGCATTACTGTAGAAATTATTGAACACCCTTAAAGGAGGCATCAGCTTCCATTGAAACAAATGTAGACATTTCAAATTTAGACAGTTCAATCACTTGACTAGACTCCAAAAAAAAGCTCAAATAAAAAACATATTTCCAGTTCAATGGATCTCCATTCACCTTTTCAAAGAATCACACACACGCGCACGTGTTAATGAAATTATATTTACCATTACCTACTATCATGGGTGACTATGTCTATGACTAATAATCAAACAGTGATGCACAGTGGTCAAGTCACACCCGGGGCAATTAGCAATGATTTAAGTGGGGCATGAGTAGAGAGGCTATGGTTAAAGTTTTAGAATTAGAATTCTTGAAACATCAACGTCATTATGAGAAGGATAGAAATATTTGTCTTTGCCTACTTGGGTTTACTCAGATGTGCTTCAAGAAACAATAATTACCGCCCTGCAATGGTGTCTCTGCCAACCAGTGCATTTTTAGTCTACATCATATTTCTTTCCAGACTAAAATAAGGTCATCCTGAAATGTACCTCTAACCACTGCAATCTAAACAATTAATCTTCTGTCAAAGTGATCAATATTTGACCTTTGACCACCAAATTTTAAGCATTTCTTCTTTGTATGGATATAAATATAGGACAAGAACCACACAGAGCCAAACACAATGCACCAAGGGTAGTCTATCAGTTTTTTTCCCAAAAAGCCTGGGCAGCAGAGTCTATCCAACCAAATATTGTTAAATTGTTTAATTACACCCAAAATTCACACATCTGCCTTTCACCATGACCCATTAGAACATTAAACTTCCAGTAAGGAACTCAACTGTGGAAGTGCATGGCATTCATTGGAGGCAAAAAAATCTTCTTGGTTTTCAAAATCAACAAGATTATAGAGATTTGTGTTTTATTAAAAACAGGCTTTTGGGAATGATTGAGATTATTATCTCTGAATTCTCAGAAATGTTTACATAGGAATAACAAATCTGCACTGTTTTTACAAAATTGATGTAGCATATAATCTGCAATTGTTAGACAGGAGTTGATGGTTAATACAGTCTGTCCCTGTCTGTTTAACTAACACATAATATGCCATCTGAACAGTTTTTTCCCCGTGGCAGTGGGGCTCACAAACAAGCCCCCTGCATCACACTGACTCTGCACCGCACTGACTCTACCCCACCACACCCCACCCCCTGCACATAATTTATAATTTATTACTTATATACTACTGGCACTATCACCAATCTCTGCACCTTCGCACAGCACGTGCCCATAACCCTGTTAATCTGTTAATGTATATATGTATATTCTTTATTTTATTTTATGTTATTTTTTATTTTATTCTATTTTATTTTATTCAATTTCTTACATATTGTTGTTTTTTATATTGTTGTTTTATGTACATAAGTAGTGCACCAATGACACCAAGGCAATTTCCTGTATGTGCAAACATACCTGGCAAATAAAAGAATTCTGATTCTGATTCTGATTCTGGTTAGCTCTCCGGTAGGGGCACAGATGTGGCTGTTCTGTGGTCTGCAGCCATTGGTTTCACAAAACAAGTGGAGAATACAATGGGTTGATCGATGCTTGATGAGAATGATCGAATACTATTGTTGCTTGCTGTTGATTGTTTTTTAAAAATTTGATACACCTTTAACAGAATGTTTTTAATTCATTTTATAGTTTTTTTTTTTATTTACACAAAGGTTCATTTTGTAGATTAGATTAGATTAGATTCAACTTTATTGTCATTGCACATGTCCAAAGTACAAAGCAACAAAATGCAGTTTGCATCCAACCAGAAGTGCTTAAACAGTGAATAAAATATGGCACAGTATGCTTAAGTATGTGTATATGCTAAACAGTGAATAAATATATGTTACAGATGCTAAACAGTGAATAAATATATGTTACATAATGCTAAAGTATATGTATATGCTAAACAGTGAATAAGTATATTTTACAGTATGCTAAAGTATATTTTACAGTATGCTAAAGTATATGTAAATGCTAAACAGTGTATAAATATATTACAGTAGGTAGGTATATATATACAGTATTAGTGATATGATTCTACCAGATATTGCTATTGACAATATACAGGTTATATTGTGTGTATAGTGTATGTACAGTGTACAGAATAAACAGTAGTGCAGGTGACATTACTCAGTCCATAGCGTGTGTCTGAGATGGGGGGTAGGGGTTGGTCAGTGTGTTTGCGTGGGGCTTCAGGGGTTGGGTTCTTGGTATGGGGGGCAGTGTGTGTGTGAAGGAGTGTGTGTCTGAAGGGGGCGATGGGGTGTCGAAGGGCAGAGTTCAAAAGGGAGACCGCTGAAGGAAAGAAGCTGTTCTTGAACCTGGATGTTTTTGTCCGGAGACACCTGAATCGCCTCTCAGAAGGCAGAAGGGTAAACAGTCCACGTGCTGGGTGGTAACAGTCTTTGATGTTCGTTGCCCTCTTGAGACAGTGCTTCCTGTAGATGTCCTCAATAGCAGGAAGAGAGGCTCCAGTGATGCGCTGAGCAGTTTTCACTACCCTCTGCAACGCTTTCCGGTTCGCAACAGAGCACTTCCCATACCAAACCGTAATACAGCTTGTAAGGATGCTCTCGATGGTACAGCAGTAAAAGCCTCAGGAAAAAGAGGTGCTGGTGAGCCTTCTTGACCAGGCTAGAGCAGTTGGTAGTCCAGGTGAGGTCATGTGCGATGTGGATCCCCAGGAACTTGAAGCTGGTCACTCGCTCCACCGCGGCTCCATTGATGTGGATGGGTGGATGGGTGTCAGCATTCCTCCTGAAGTCCACGATGAGTTCTTTAGTTTTGTTGATGTTGAGCAGCAGGTTATTGTTGTTGCACCACGCAGCCAGGGGATCCATCTCCTCCCTATATTGAGACTCATCGCTGTTCTTGATGAGGCCAATCACCGTGGTGTCGTCCGCAAACTTGATTATGGTGTTGGAACCATGTACAGGTCTGCAGTCGTGGGTGAAGAGGGAGTAGAGGAATGGACTCATCACACAGCCTTTGCTCAGGGTGATGGTGGAGGAGCAGTGGTGGTCTAACCGAACATGATCTGATGTCCAGATCTCTGAGTTTTGAGATTAATTTGGAGGGGATGACGGTATTGAATGCTGATCTGAAGTCGATGAACAGCATTCTGGCATAAGTGTTATTGTTGTCCAGGTGTGAGAGGACAGAGTGCAGCGCTATGGTGGCTGCATCATCTGTGCTTCTGTTCTTACTGTAGGCAAATTGGTGGGGGTCTAAGGTGGGGGGAAACAGGAATTGAGGTGTTCCAGGACCAGCTGCTCTAAGCACTTAGTGATGATGGGGGTGAGTGCTACTGGGCGGTAGTCGTTGTGACACATTGGAGTGGAGTGTTTTGGTACAGGCATGATGGAGGTGGTTTTAAAGCAGGTAGGCACAACAGCATGGGCCGAGGACATGTTGAATATGTCCGTCAGGACTCCCGTCAGCTCCTCTGCACATGCCCTGAGAGCACGTCCAGGGATGCCATCAGGGCCTGCAGCTTTGCGTGGGTTGATCCTGCTCAGCACTGTTTTAACATCAGAGCGTAGAAGTTGTTGAGCTCGTTGAGGAAGGTGCTGTCTGAGGAAGGGGGAGAGGGGTTAGGGGGCTTGTAGTTCCTTATGACCTGGATACTTTGCCACATACGTCGGGGGTTTGAGTTGGAGAAGTGCTCCTCAACCTTCAGTTTGTGGCGATATTTGGCCTTTTGATGCCCCATTTCAGGTCAGCCCTGGCTGTGCTGTAGGCTGCTGGGTCTCCTAATCTGAAGGCGATGTTGCAGGCCTTAAGCAGGAGACGTACATCCCTGTTCATCCAGGGCTTCTGATTTGGGTACATGGTGATACGTTTCCGGGTGGTGACACTGTCTATGGTAGTGGTGATGTGGTCTAGTACGGAGGAGGCGTAGCTTTCGATGTCTGCGCTGGAGTGACAGGTTGCCTGGGTGTTAGGTGCAAAAGCATGCCAGTCCGTGTGTCTGAACCGGTCCTGTAGCACAGAGTCTGTCCCCTCTGGCCACACTTTAATAGTCCTCACTGTAGGTTTCACATGTTGGATGATGGGTGTGTGTTTTGGGGGGAGAAAGACAGTGAGGTGGTCAGACTGTCATATGTGGGGGAGGGGTGTAGCTTTTTAAGCATTAGATATGTTAGGGGAAGCATGGTCCAGAGTCTTATTTCCCCTAGTGTGACAGGAAACATGTTGGTGAAACCTGGGGAGAACTGTCCTCATGTTGGAGTGATTAAAATCTCCCGCAGCAACAAAAGCAGACTGATTATTGTATGAATAATATATGTTTTCTTATTCATTATCTTTCATGATTCTTTCTACAAATTGGTAATATTGAGCTTGGTATGCATAAAGCAAGGTGATTTAGGCTTTTTTTGAGACTAATACAAGTGTAATTACAAAGTGACCTGTCCCAGATTATCAAATTCAGGCCGAATTTTCTTGTATGGCACAAAGAACACTAAAAGCTTTTCCAGGTCTTCTCTGAGTATGATATCTCCATTATTTTTTCGAGTGTGTCTAATATGTAAAACAGATATCAGAAGTGCAAAGGATTCCATGTGAAACAATTGTTAACATAGTGGAAAGGAGTGTCAATGTTTAAAGTATTTATACATAAGAAAATGTCTGATAGAGATGAAGGGAGCAGAATTGACAATTTAAATGGAGGAGTTATTGCCTGTAGTGGTGGAGTAGGCATATTGTATATTAATCAGTCTAGTGATTCCAAACATTGAGTGAAATGCTGTATATTACCATGACCCGCTATATTTATTATTTCTGAAGTAACTAGTGCTATTTGACTGTATCGGACGCATCAATGGACCCACCATACCAATGTTTTACAATTTTATGTTTAACTGTAGTAAAGACCCAAAGATTTTTATTGGGAAAACAAGGATGTTGGGGAAATTTTTCAGAAATACAAATGTATCATTACACAAAATCAATGGTTCACATTTTTCTTTAGTCATATGAATAAAGTCTGGTACATTTTTGTAGAAAAGGTAAATGAAATGGTTGCTAGGAGTATGCTAAGATATAGGACTAATTACGGCATGTTAGGCTAATTGCAGAAACTATTAGTGTTTCAAGGGACATTGTTTTTATAGCAAAAATGTTTATTTCACCAACCTTTCATGTTATCTAACCATGTGAATAGTTTCAGTTTTATTTGTTCAGAAAATTCTTTAGATACTTTAACAACATCTCTAATAGAAATTTCAATGTTGCTCTGTATAACCTTTATAAATGATTTATAGATATCCCTTTGGACTGTTTCTTCAATAGAGAGTCAATATCCCTTTGATACTACTCTTGTCTATTCTGGTTTATTGCAGAGTGAACTTGTGCGTAGGCACATCCAGAAAGAGTTTTGGAGAGTCCAGGATGTTTTAGAAGGACTGCACAAGAATAACTTATCAAGAGGTACTGACACAGCCAAGCACAGAGGTAACACAATGGAGCTGGGAAATAATTACTTTAATTCAATGGAAATTCTAATGTCCTTATCATGTAAATTCTAATCATTCTACCCTTACCCCTCATCCTCCCTCTATTTCTCTTGGGCAGTGGCCAGCGGTGCATCAGGCTCCTTTAGCACAAATAGTCCAGCCAGTCCCCTGAGCTCAATAAGCCTCACCAGCCCACTCAGCCCCTTCTCCCCAGTGCCTGGCTCTCACGTCTCCCCCACCAAACAGCTGGGCCCGGAGGTAATATATGCATATGCACAGACTCTAAAACCAAGCTTGAAGTGCAAAAAAGATCAAGACCTAAACCTCGTCCAAAGTCATGTACAGTACCTAATTTCAAATCTGACACTAGACCTAGGTTTAGACCCAGAAGTTACAGAGAATCTGAAACAAGCCTGCTTGTGGAAAGTATACATTTCAATCAATGTGAAACCTTTCAACACAACTTTCCTCAGCCCTCCCTAGCTTTCAAAAACTATTGGAAATCCTCGGCTAGATTAGATCCTGTGATAGAGGAAACAGACCAAAACATAAACTGTAGAGCAAATTTCAACCTTGACCAACCTAGGTCCGGCCAACAAAGTCTAGGCAGTATCAGAGCAGGAGAAAAGCACAGACTTCTTCAAGTTCAATACCAGGACTCCAAATATACCACAGCATTCAGACATGGTCCAAACTCAATCTGACCTAAAGGAGATAAAGTGGTGATCCTTAGATGACTGTATTCCAGAAGTCAGGGTAGGCCTAAGAAAAGATCCCAACCAACTCAGTTCTCAACAAGATACCATAATGGCCTCAGAAACATGCCCTACAAGAGATGCTTTTCTATACCTGAATCTCAGATTCTGCATCTCCACAATTCATTTTGCACTGATGTTTTATCATTACACTGTAGGCGAGATCTGCATGCACCTTCAGTCCTTTGTTTTAGAAGTACTTGCCCCAAAATCCAACCACATTGCCAGCCAGCCTCACTATCATTGCCTGATGCTGGTGCATGTGCAAGGCTACTTACTTGTCCTAACAATCAAGGGAAACTGGGTAATGATCCAGTGATATTTGCCATAACACAGTCTGATAATCATTCAGGTAAAGTGTTGATGCAGAGCCATCTTTAGAGAAAACATTATCAACTTTATAATTAAGCTCAACATTCTCAAGCTCTGTTCCCATTTCATGTGTTCAGGTTTGTAACATTGTAAATGCAATGACACTATTTCCCTCAAATCATTAACATTTTATATTGCTTTATTCAAAGATCAAGATGATCATGATACAAGTTGATGGCTGAAATATTGTGGCTGTCTCACAAAGGCTTGTCAGGTATTTCATTGGCCCGGAGATTTTTGTATCTAACTCCTAAATAACCAGAGAGCCCAGTCCATAAAATCAGTCCCATGAGTCCTTTCTGCACTTTGCCTGTCTTATTATCATTCCTCCTGATGAGCAGCACTCTCTTTCTCCTTTCCTTCCTCTCCTTTCTTCCTCCCTCCTACCTGCCCTTATGGTGATATAGGAAAGTATTCCCCCAAGGCCACCTCTCCCCAAGGCCTATTATCCTTTGGAGCTCTCCGCTACCCACCCCCCCTCCATCCCCCCTTTGCCCTTTGACAGCACCGCCTGGCTACGCAGCTTGTGCCGTGGTGATGGTTACCTTGATGGTGAAGATTCTCACATCAGAAAGGTATTTGGGTGTCAGTCCCTCTGCTCACCCAGTCCTAAATGTTCTTCAATGTCATATTTTCAAATTATGAGTCTTAAACTTAGCCACCAAAAGCCATTTATCCCTCCAAATCCTACATGCTTCATCTTTCCAGACCTCTTGTTCAAACAATCCACCAATTGCCTCTGAATGTCCTTGTATCAATAGCAGCCTATTTTTAAGCTCAATTTGTACCTTATGGTACTGCTTAACTGTTTTAATGTCAGGTACATGCTATATCAGAAAATCTTTGTAACTAAATAAAGGATATCAGATCAAAACGCACAACATTTGTATTGCAGGATAGGGAATTAGCAGCAGGGTTCTCTAGAGCCCTATAATGTCTTAGTAATGATGTAGTCATGCTAGTTAGTTACCGGTCACTCCAGGAAGCAGTACTATGAAAGTCATCCACACATTCACATAAAATCCCTAGTGTCTACTTGGACAAGGATTTACATGTATTTGTACCATCCACTACTATCTCATGTCTGGCTGCAATCTGTGTTGCATTCCTGTAGTATAACAGTTAATACTCAAGGATAAAGGGTGTCCATTTTGGACTCTCATGTTATCTCTGATCCTTTGAAGTATAGCACTGTCAAGGTGGTTTTCAAGTGTTTGTCAAAGTTTCAGAAACTCAGAGACTGAATACACTATTCTCTGCAATTCCACTGAAATTAGATGATTTTGTTCTTACATCTAAGATGTAAGATGTAAGACCAAAATCATCTAATTTCAGTGTCATAATGCATACTGGTCAGGTCATTACTGCATATGCAAGTAATGTATTGTTTCTGCTATTATAGGTGTAACAGTCATTTAAAAATGATTCTCCAATCACTAATAACAAATTATGAATGCATTCTGTTTAATCAGCAGCTTTGGATGTTTCCTAAAATTTGTCAGAACCTTTGGGTTTAATATTGATACATATTTCATATTGCAGCTCCAGTTTGGTGAACAGAACAATATCACTGATATGCAGGACCTGGTCCAGGACAGGCAATACAACATGAATAAAGGTATAACAACCTTAGCCCAACTTTCGATGTGATACCACCTTTGTGCCTTTGAAAGCTGATAATCATAGTTCAGCCATTTCGTCCTGCGTTATTGCACAGAACATCATGGAGTGGAGTCTACATTATTCTGTCTTTTGCGGTATGATTATATCATCAAATCAACTAAGATTGACAAGATATGCAAACATTTTCTCATTGTGTTAGCACTGAGAATTAAGCTTCTTCATTAAAATCTTTCTGAATTTATCTCTTGTGTCACTTGCCAGTTGGCATTGTTCCTCCTAGAACCAAGGCCCCCACCGACGAATTACACAGCAGCTCTACTGAAGCATCCTGGCATAATGGCAGGGTGCCTAATGCAATCTCTAGGGTATGTCAACCTAAACTAAATAGTAAATAGTATCCAAATACTAGTAGCACCTATCTAATCCACAGTGTACAGATGTACAGTCTTAAGCCTTCAAACTAAATTATGTGTAGAAATCTGTCAATCTGTAACCAATGTGCACACGAAACAAAAACAAAATTACCATCAAGTATGTTTCTCATGATCACAACTGTGGTAATTCAGTTCAGACAGTAATTCAAATGTAGTTGTAAGTGCTGCAATAGTTAAGCTTAAATGATGCTCAGATAGCTTTAGTAACACTTGGTTTTAAAATACTTGAATTTAAATTCACTCATTACACCCAGTTTGATGTACTATTATCTGGGAATAATCATAAGAAAGATGCATAATTTATCAAGCAAAAATTATTTGACATTAAAAATCAAAAAAAGATAAGACCAAGATGAAAGGAAAGAAATAGGACTGAACTTTGGTAAACCCCACACACTCTGATGGTTTGCTTTGATACTTTATTGCAAATAACTTATGTTATTGAGATGGGTCTTAAACATCTACGTCTCTGAGTCGAATGCAGTTCACTGTCTATGAAGTTGTATGGTGGAATGCGTCTAAGTGACCACTAAGCTCCAACAGAACTAGGACTGAAATTTTTTCTAAAAGTGTTACTATGTCACATATTTTTTACAGGAACGTCCAAAGAGTGCTATATTTCCTGCAGAGATGAAGTCAAAGATGAGCATAGAAGAGCAGAATGAACGAATCCGCCGCAACCAGAGCAGCTCTGTCAGGGAGAAGAGACGGAGCCTAAACATCTCAGGTGGCCAGTCTCCAGCCAACTACAAAGTGGTATGATCAATCATTTGATATAAGAAGCAAAATGGAATGTTTTACTTGCTCATACCTGTACTAAGTACTTGCACATGCATACTGTCATACTTTTAAAGTTGTACATTGCTTATTTATTGGTTCCAAATACAGTTTTTGTGTTTGTTAAAGGTAGGTATGTCTATGAGYGGCTGAGCTCGGTGGAAATAACTCTCAGGAGTACTTGGAGTTGCAGTTGTAAGAGGGCATTTATTTGTTAACCCCAAATTGAAGGCCGACAAGGCAGAATTATTCAAAGTAAATATAAAATAAAACAAACCAGTGGAAAAACAAACACTGGGAAATGAGAAAATAAATAGGCACATTGGCCCAAACAAATAACTTCAATAACCAAATATTTT